TATATATATATACAGAGAGAGAGATACATATGTATACGTATGTATAAAAATAGATAGATAGATAGAGAGAGAGAGAGAGAGAGAGAGAGAGAGAGCTCATATTGACTGTCATGCAGCTTTTCCCGATTAGGAGGAGAAACAAAACAGCAGATGAGCAGGAAATGAAAGCAAAACCTCTTAACCTTGGTGATCAGAGACAAGAGACAAAAAAAAAAATGTAGATATATTCTGACAACTACGCATGCACCACATTACAATAGTGGATAGGAGTACCAGCCACAATGTAATGAGATGCGCTATAAGAGCTGTACGGACCCTTGATTTTTTTTTTTTTTTTTTTTTTTACTGCTTTAACAACAGACACCGTAGTACTCCTCAGAGGCAGAAAAGCAAACAACTGTCACTGACTTCAACTGATGATTATGACGAAAAATTCTGGAATGTTGGTTTGTGTATATGTAATTCTTGATGCTCTTATATAGATGTATTGTCTGTGTATACTCATACATGTACACACACACACACACACACACACACTTATCATTTTTTGCTCCCTTTTGTTCATGTTCTCCCAGAAGTGGTTTTTGCCTGGCGTTTTGTAAAGAACCAAGGACGTTTGCTTTTTTTTCGGCTTTTAACACTCCTTTGAAAATGTCCAAGGCAAACATCAGCATAGTGAGCGATCGCTGGACTGGTGAACACTTTTTCTGGGTGATTCACATTTACGTAAAACTATCAGAACGTCTCATGGCCCAAGGGGCGAATGACGAGGACGATGCATAAACACATATCTATCTATCTGCATAGACACATTCGGTAAAAGAGGTCCCTCTTAGCCAATGGGATGCCAGGATGATGCTCGGGGAATAGCCAATGGCAGAGTGGCTATAAGTATGTTGCGTTCAGGAAAGCTGCGAGTAGCAACCCATACTATATTTTTACCTTTCAGATCTTGAAATTTCTTTCCTAACAAGAGGCAATATTTTCCTGTTGAGGCATTTCATAACTTGAAAATTTCGGATGAAGAGACTTTCGTAAGTAGAAGTGCCACTGTATATGGAAATGTCTGATCCTGCTCTTATGTAGGAGTCATCTTCAAAATGACAAAAGCATGAAAAAAACCTCAGAAACACCGCACCTGGTTGTGATGTGCTGTTGTCATCATCCTGAGCCTCCAAAACCAAAGAGAAGGACTTCTGTAAGGGAGAAAACACAAGACAACCTTTTAGTTTTTTATTTTCGAAACTGCAACCTGGTGTACGTAGGTTAATCCTGCATAGGGTCACATAAAGCATTCCGAGAAAAAAATTTTGAAATTTAAAATTCATCGGCGTATCCAGAGATAGCAGCCCGCCTTTTATTGGTGACATTGAGCTCGCCCGTATATCACACATTACAGATAAGAGAGGGCATGCACTCTTTTCTGATGAATACATTCATGCCACACAGGCATGCATATCGCAAAGCCTCCAAGCAAAATGTGTTATTATTCTGTGATTGTCATCCCCCAAAGCGCTTCGGTGTGTGGTCACGTTGTTATTGCGAGAGTCTGAGTGGTGGGAAGAAGTGGAGAGAACAAGATAGGATGAAGGGGAAGGAGGACAGTGGAGTGCAAGAGGGAGACTGCGGCGTGGAAGGTGCAAAATGGCGATGGAGAGGTGAAAATTGCTGTTGAAGACCTTCCGGGGTTCATACAACAACAACAACAACAACAAAATCCAAGGTTATTTCGACTCACAGCTCATCTATTTATATTTTTATAGGAATATAAATATACTATAAATGGAAATATTTCGGGCTCTCGCTTCGTAGACAGACAGCCGATCCGTGATTTTGGTATTAGCGCAAGGCTTGCCGTGTGTGTTTGCCAATTTGGCAGACTGGTCTCCGCCAAAGCAGCGTGGGCCGGCAGAAAGAATGTCTTGAAGATGCATCTGGCAGGATCAAGGTTTGGTGGCAGAAAATCGATTAAGTGGCTGGCTGAGGGTAGACAGCTGCACCAATGTATTTCATACATTAATATGGGAACAGTGGGCATCAAAGCCTCTGGATTATTGTTTGATATTTCTTTGTTTCGGGGCTGTGCACCATTCTGCAGGTCACCTTTGGCATTAGGTGCGAACATGCTAAACACAAGGGGTGTAACATTTGGACCATTGGGAAAATGAAGTGTGGTTATTTTCCCAGTGATGTAAGCTCAAGCTAATTCATTATTTTAAGAATGAAAATATTGGATAATGCATGCTTTCAAGATTGATATATATATATATATAATTTTTTTTTTTTTTTTAGATCATCCCACTGCACGGCAAATTTGTAGGTTGAGAACTCTTACGTTTTCCAAGTGCGCACTTCGCGGTGCAGATGGGCTTCTATGAAAACAGATCAGAATAGGTCGTGCGCAATGAATGTGTGTGGTGCGTGAGGAAAGAAACGAAGGTGAAAGGGAGGGAAACAAGAGTAGGTGGAGCAAAAGAGATGAAATCACCTGTACGATGTGGAGATATGCGATGAATGAAGAGAACAAAGAGGTCAGAGGGCGGGGAAACAAATACGTGGAGATATGAGAGAGTGGAAAGATTATAGGGGCTGACAAGAGAAAGAAAAGAAAGTCGATAAGATAAACGCGCACACAAACGTGGGCGTGCGAAGAGTGTGAGAAGGCACGGTGCTAATGAGGTGTGCAGGGCAGCAGTTCATTAAGGGCAACAGAGAGCAGGAAGCTCACAGACAGACCAGTCATTAAAATTCAGCATTTCCAACTTCAAAATTGTGAAAGCACACAGTCGAATATCATGAATAAATAGCCGAGGGGTAAAACCGGTACAGTCCTGAAAAATGATGAAATGATGCCATTCAAAGTCATCCCCCTCCCACCCCCTCCCTCAAAAAAACAACATGCTGTTCAGTGAGGCCTCTAAACGTCCAAAAAAGTGAATATAAAATTATTAATTATTATTTGTTTAGATATTGTGGCCATCAGTCCAAAGTATAGTCGACCTCTCGCCCAAAGTCGTCTGGGATAGGCTGCTGCTCAACTGGAACACTAATGAGGATAAAACACTACAGAAAATGGATCGGGGGGGAGGTGGGAGGGTGTGCTTAAAAGTAAAGAAGGCAAAGTCACAGGAAAACACTGTGACTGCTGAAGTGAACTACAGAGGAATGAAGAAATGAATTGAAACGTTATGATATTTGAGGGGAGAAATATTATCATGGTTTGAATCAGTCAAGAAATTTGGAAGATGTGGCAATATTTGAGTGTTGAAAATAATAGCAGCCATGTTGTGAACTTTTGGAATCTTTGGAAAGTTGAATGATTTGAATGGTTCAGAAATGTGGAAGGAGAAGCATGTCGAAAAAGTGTGGAGAGTAATTCAATTTTTCACAGCATTTCAGTGATTGTGAGATTATGTTTTATATCAAAGGAGAGAAATAAAAAAAAGGGGACAATGAAGGAATTACGACATGTAGTTGAGATGGCAGAGGTCACGTTACCTACGGCTCCCGACGAGAGCCGATAAGAGAATAAAAAAGGTTAGCGAGCGCTTCCTGAGCGCCTTTCCAAAACACACAAGCGGGCCACTGCCATGTGACGTCAAGCGGGCATTGACGGGGGAGAAGACGGACCGCATATAAGAAGGGGGTGGGGGGGATGCTCAAAAAGAATTATGTGGCGCACAAAGCGGGTAAGAGAACTGTAAACAAAATCTGCTGGGATCGCGATTGGCGAAGTGACGTGTCACTCAGTTTTGTTGTCTCAAGGGGAAATTACATCGTGAGAAAATCTGTGTGTGTGAGTGTGTGAGTGCGTGCGTGTGTTGATGAGGAACCGAGTAGACAAAGCTGCCTGTCAAAACACAGCTAACATTAGCATTTAGACATAACATTTAGACTTCCTCCAAGGCTTTAATACTGTCGTTGTCACGAGTAAACTCAATGTGGGAACAACTACACTCATAGCACTGCTGTTATAATGATTCCATTCAAATTAGTAGCAAAAACCAGCCCGAGAGTTGGAAATATTGTTTCAACTCATTCACTCAAGTCATGGAAAAAAAAAGTACAGACTCTCAAATGTAAAATATGGCTTGATTCGTTCTTGTAACATCATCATCATCTTTAGATCATCTTTCCCATTTGAAATAAATGGAACCACCATTAATCTGTTCCAGTCTGTCAATTAGCACCCCAAAACATTTTTGTTACATTTTATTAACGCGTGAAAATTAAAAATAGCATTCTACATTATAGTACTTAAAAAAAACAAAAAAACATACCAGAACTAGAAAATGCAATTTTTGGAGAAATGGCGTCCCCCAAACAATACCTCATCGCAAATATGGAGTCTCATACAGACAACTTGAAGTCAACAACGACCCTAACGTACGTGCTTGTCAACTGTGTCAGGAAGCTGTTCAACACAGAAAGGTCCAGACCTGGATTTGAACCTGCTCGCCATGTCTCCTCTATCTGGGTCTGCTCTGAGAGTCTAAGCCCATCAAGGCTAGACACATCAGGGATTTTCAAATCAAAGAGCAGACAATTAGAAGTTGGCTCTTCCCCGAGGCCGCACGAAAGCCAAAGAAGGGAAGGATTACAGCGGCTGGTGAAGACTCCCCTCATTGAAACCTTTATTGACGACAAACCAAATTCGCATTTAATGAAGATCTGAGAAGACTCCGAATAAACCTGACATCTACTGCCCTACTATTCCCAGCATTCAACATCCCATCTCAACCACCACCCCACACCCTCCACCCCCCTCATCCCTGCATGCGGCTCAGACATGGGCCGGGTAGGATATCCCGACAAAGCCAGGCTGTACAAACACAGCTCTGCCACAGGAAGAACTCCCAACCCTGAGAGAGGAATTTCCCTTCACAATGCAATGCACACACACACACACACGCAAAAGGAACAAATCCCAGGCGTAGAGCATTCTTTGCTGAGGTCTGCTTTTAAAAGTTAATCTCTTGAAACGGTTTTCACATGAACCTCCCCAACACACGCGCGCGCGCGCGCGCACACACACACACACACACACACACACACACACACACACACACACACACACACACTATATTTTACTGTCACATCATTAGAACTAACAAAAATTAATTATTTTAGACCAACACAATCCGGCAATTTGACAGCAAGGAATAACTCATTGAACAATTGAACAATAGAGACCATTAATGGACCGCTTTTATTGACTATCGCACGGAGGAACTGGTGATATGAACCTAAAATAAAATGTCTCTATTTTGAGAGAATTGGTGCGATAACAACAACCTTGGCAAAACAGTATGTCAAAAGGCCAGATAAAATACATGGGAATTATATTTGGTAACTCAAAATGGCCACCACAGACATGACCGTATTGTCGTAGCGCTATGAGAACCAACTGATTAGAATTAGAAAGAAAACAGAGTACCGGTAATATGAAATACAAATGAATCTAGCGATACAATTTGAAATAATAAATAGATGTCAAGCAGTTGAGTACGTAGCAATAAACATGAAAAAATAAACGGATTAAGTCAATACAACGTATTGTATAATTCAACCATTAAGAAATTATATCGAACAACCAAGCACGATTCAGACCGATACCAGTATGAGTACAGTATTCACTCTTTGAGTAATCAGTGATACTGAGTGGTGATACCTCGAGTATATTTGATATATAAAATGTATCCATCCATCCATTCATTATCTGAACCGCTTTAGCCTCACAAGGGTCGCAGGCGTGCTGGAGCATATCCCAGCTGTCTTCGGGCAGTAGCCAGGGTACTGTACACCCTGAACTGGTTGCCATCCAATCGCAGGAAACACACACATAGACAAACAACCATTCGCGCTCACAACCACACCTCGGAACAATTCGAAGCGTTCCATTAACCTGCCATGCATGTTTTGAGAATGCAGGAGGAAACTGGAGTACCGTGGAGAAAACCCAGGCAGGCACGGGAGGAACATGCAAACTCCACACAGGAAGACCGCAGCCTGGAATCGAACCCATCACCTCTGCACTGTGAGGCAGAGGTGCTAACCAGTTTAATAATTCAATAAAATGACAACAAATTATGAGCAAAGACCTTTCTGACGCAGATGTGAAGGAGGATTTACCCAATGTCAGATTTGATTTGCTGGGACTGGTATCTGCTGCCTCCATAAGTACCTGATACCTTAA